TCTTTTTTTTCATTTTAAATATCGTGACTTCAGTAAAGCTTAACGATATTTCCAAGAATTTTTATAGGAGCTGCTTCGAGAAATTTCCCAGTCCAGCTCGACTGCACGACACTTGCGCAAATTCTGAACAATCTCCAGCATCCAGGATTTTTGAGCACCTGATTGATTGCGGTAATAGCTTCTACCACCTTATTTCTGGAGACGTGCCGAGAAGTGCTTCTTCACTTGTTACTGAAAGTTTGATAATGACAAAAAAATTAACAATTAACAATTGTTATGAATTGCTAGTTTTTTAAGAATTGCTAGCTTTGTTTGTTAAGAATTGTTTTAGGAACTGCTAGCGTTTTTGGTAAAAATTGTTAAGAACTGCCAATTCCGGATTAAGCAAAAAAATTGTCATTTTCGGGCAAAATACTCTAAAACAATCAGCAAAAACGCATATTATGCCAACAAATAGTGCGTATTTCCGGTTATTTCAATTGGGTAACTGGATAAGTTTAGATGCTGGAGCCTTGCCACCAAGTTCCCTGGCCAATATCGACGGTTGAAGCATGATACCAGCTTTTGCATACACCTGAGCCCCACGGGTTTCAGAGTAGTTCGACTCCCACGTACGAATACGCGAGAATTTTTGAGTTAATTTATTAGGTCGAAAACCAGAAAAACTAATAAGCTCAAGTTTTAGAAACACAATTTTTGTCCATATGCAATTAAAAAACTTTACATGCGGACATATTAAAATCCTGACGAAAATTGTTCAAATCGATTTCGTCATTGTTCTCTCTTAACATGTTTTTCATTACTCAATTTGCATTTTCAATAAACGACCGATGACAGCAAATTTTTCATTTCCTTCCATGCAAATTTACATTAATTATGCGTGGTGGTGGTTAGAAATTTATGCGATCTGGCCGTATTTTGTTTTTGCAACAGAACAGCCCCAGCTATCACCCTTTCCTCATGTATGTAAGAAAAGGCAAAAATATGGCTAGCATGAATGCACATGTTAAACTGTAAAATAGCAATCATTCATACTGCTAGCGATTTCACTGCTTCAAGTTTAGCGCAAAAGTACATGGTCGAACTGAAAACCCTGGTGCGACAATTAAAAAATGTTGTCCCTAAACAATCAAAAAATTTCAGTTTTCTACTCGGCGTAATTTCAGCTTTCTTTCTTGTCTGCTTTCCGCCTAGGAATTTGTATGTTTCCTTTTTTAAGTATCCGTACGCGAAACCCAAGCGTACAACGCTACAAGGATTAAAAATGAGCAGGAATACGTTCGTAAATTCTCCGATTTTGGAGTTGAGAGTGGTGATAAAACTAAAACACACCCACACACGCACACTCATACATAAACATACACACACACACAATCTCTTGGCCGTACGCGCTCTTGCATTTGCATAAGACGCAACAACGCTTAAGAAGGATAACTCGTAATATTTCAATAACATCATTCAGTATCGCGCAGCTCCGTTACGAGAATCAAAGGAAAGCAAAGAACTAGTCTTTTTGGATAAAGTTTAATTCAATCAGCAAATTAAGTTACCGCGCAGAGATTGATTCTCGGAATAACAATCCAAAGCAGACCGAAGTAATAGAGCCTTTTTCTAGTTCACTTGTAGATCGGCATCGATATCCACGCTGAATTCTTTTATCCTTACTTTTACCGTGTTAACATTAGGTATGCTATACTGGCTTTAACTATGGTACCAGCACGTTTACTATTAGGTGTTCGCACGCGATACCAACTTATAGACGAGTGTGGCCCATGGCATAGGACATGACCCTAAAATTCAGATTTCAAGCTGAGTTTGAAGTGGATGATGAGTTTAAAGTGTTAAAGTGGATGATGAAATCTATTCGTCTCAGAAAAGATACAAAAAACACATACCTCCAACCTTTCAGCATTATTCGTCTTTGCGTTTTAAATGTGTAAGCCTGCGAAAAAAACGCATATTATTGGTTAAATAAGTTTAACTTCGTTCACTCTTTTTCCGTAAAGTATTACTTGGAGAAAATCATTTCTGCCGGAAAAAAAATTTACTGTTTAGCATTTATTACCAGATCACCACTGCGCTAATGCATTTCTCGTCTGTCTGCTGATCATCGAAAGGCTTTTTTAGAATGCAACTGTCATAAGCTGCTGCGAGAAATGAGAAGTTTAGAGGTGGCAGGAATTCTAATGATTCCACTGCTAATTTGTGGTATGTTTGGGAATTTACAACTGATGATTGTTACTTGGAGACACAAACAGTTGCAACATCGCAATGGCATACTGGTTGCAATTATTGCCTGCATGGATTTCGTGAGTTTTTATCACTTGCGCATAAATAAAGCACAACTGCACAAGGAAACCAAAGTAGACATGCTTTTTACGCACTCATGTCCAGCAAATAAACAGGTACAAAAGGGCATTCAACTCGGAAGTAGCTCGATTGCCCGCTGGGAATTCGCCTTTAGCTATCTTTTCTGCAATTGCCCTAACCATAAAAGAGAACGAAGGTTTTTGCGTCATTATGCCGAAAATGTTTTGAATTTTTTTTTCAATCCCTCAGCGCCTCGAATTTTTGTTTTCATCTTATTTTTTGTTTTCATCTTATTTTTTACCCAGTTTCATCAGCGGATACCTGAGATGTTTTTCACTTATTGTTTGTGATTGAAAAACATTTCATCTATCCGCAGATCAAACTGTTTAAATGTACCATGAAGCGAAAATCTCAGGACGCAGAGGGATTACAAATACTGTAAGTGAGCAAAAAAGCTCGAAGCATCTTTTGGATACGGTATGAACCAGGAGGAAATCGAATCACTCATACAATCTCCAGATTCTTCGAATCGTGACGAGTTCTTATTCATTTTATCACTGCTCTTCGTGCCCCGCTGATTATTATATGTAACTAATTAAGATATAAATGTGCTGCTTCCGCAAGCACAAAGCACTGTCGGGTTTTTGCGGGTATCCGCGATAACTCTTGACAAAAGAAAGATTGGGAATTGGAATCAGAACGTGTTAAAGAATAGCATGAGGACTATTACTCTTGTGCGTGGTTGCTGCTTTTCAAAACAAATTTCACTTTTTATGGCGATTTTTTCACAGGCGCTACGTGACAATCGAAATTACCGCGTGCGCAAAATTTCAGTGAGAAGTGGAGCTGTGTGTTATTATAAAACAAGCGCAGCTGTGAGTGGCATCCTGTGTAGGGCTAGCTCGCAGCATTTCGTATTTGCCACTTTTACACATGCATTATTTTTTCAGAAATTATTTTCTTGTTGACGCTAGACGATAGAATCCTACATGAAAGCAGATGGGACAACATGTATTGCTTTGAATGTTTCGTAATTTCTCGAAAAGCCGGCAAGAAAAAGCTATTACATTAAAAAATCTGTGCTTTCTAAAAGAAGGTAGATGGACACAAAAGCGAAAATGTCGCTGTTCCTGGTTACGCATTGGCCTAGCACGGCGTGTTCGAATGCAAAAACAATATTTTCACCTCCCAGTCCATATTCATTTGCAAAAGTGGGCTCCATCCGCCACACCGTGACACGTATCATGCTATACAGAACTCATTGCAGATAAGTGAATTACATGAAATGAAGGATGCGATTGAAATAAACTCTGGTTTATCTCTGATGCGACGTGAAACATGCTTCCCCACAATCTTCTTGTACAGCTATTCTTTTAATATGGCCTGCGTAGCAATTCTTTCTCTAGCCATTGATCGTCTTCTTGCCGTTTTGTCACCTGTAAGGTAAGCAGTAATTGTTAACAAATGTAGCTATGTCGAGAATTCTCCCAAATCAAAATCGCCCCAAATCTGTATTACCATTTCTTCGGCAAAGAGAGCAGTTCCTGTGCATGAACAATTTAGGGAGTCACCGATAATGCAGAGGAGCTGTTCATTGGATTTGGCAAGTAGGAGGTGATTTTGACAACTTGTTTTGGTTCTGGCAATTTAACGGTCCGTCTTTTCCTTTTTACATGTGAATAGGAGACTGTAGTGGCGACTCCCAGTCCTATTCGCATTCAGTTCTCTGTCCGTGTTTACAGCTAAGGGATGAAACACTGACTACAAAATTATCTGATCCGTTGGAATAAGTAATTTATCAAATCTTATCAGATTTTTGATCGAGCGTAACTGCAACAAAAATTTTTATGATTTAGGAGGAACCGTGTAGTAGGCTGTAGTGCGGCGTTGTACTTTGACTGTATACGTAGTGTTGAGGAACAAAGGCAAACCAATGAGATTTTGATTCTCACGCATGTGATAAAAGCAATTTACTGCCCAGGCGAATGAATGAATAGCAGAGAGATTTGGTTGTTTTGCGAATAACTACCTAGTGCCATATTCTTCTTCCGCACAGATAAAAAAATTTAGAAGTATTAGTCGCTAAATTTGGTGTTTCATTCAATTTTTTTAGATACAGGACGATGCAGAGTAAGCGCTATATTTATTCAACAATAATAATTGGTTTTATCTATTCAACACCATTTGTTGTCCTTGGCTTTTTTCTCGCTGATGACGAGGTAATCCGTGCATTTGCCAGTTTTCTATTTTAATACCACGACAGACGTCATTGTTACGCATTTCTGAGCTGCAATAGTAGCGCATAACAGTTACTGTTAGTATCCCTACTCTGCGCTTGTGTGTGTATGTGGGTGTCTGTAAGTGGGTATGTTTGTGAGTGTGTGTGTGTGGGTATGAGTTTATGTGTGTGTATGTATGTGCGTATGCATGTTTGTGACTGTGTGCTTGTAATTTTCATTCGGGTTTTTCAATTCAGCGACCAGAAAAGCTGGGAGGCTGAAAATGGATATATCCTGGTCTGGTGCAGCTTTGGAAGCTTTAATTCAGTTCTCAAGCTTGTCTACACTAGTGGAAATTCATATGAAAATTTTTCTAACTCGAAGACAGGACAGATAAAATGCACTTGTATCACACATACACACAGACTGAGTCTCGACAGTATGCGTTTTACGTAACTGTTACAGCACAAAACTGAAAAACACAGTCTTTCTCGCCGAATCGTTCTCCAATAAGACTTGGTCCGCTACTTAATCCTTAAGATGACGAAGTTCCAGAGCCCGCAGTTTGTAGAAGTAAATTAAGAAATAGTCAGTGAAATTATCACCGCTTACAATCTGGCTGCAGAATTTTGATTATGCTGTTTGCAGCTCGTTGAGCCTTGCAATCTGCCACTGGCATATACAGAGCCTTTAATGAAAGCTTGGAATTATCCCTATGTTACCATTGCTTTTCTTATTATTATCCTAAATATTGTCAGTTATTTCGTCATGCAGAGTGCTGTAAGGAAGCAAGATATGAGTAAGGTTTTCAATATCTTAAAACAACTCGTCTTACAAAATGGCTCCGATTTTTTCCTAAATATCTGAGTGGAGGCTGCAGTAGTTATGCATATATAAAATATAATAAGTAGGGCAGCCGGTGCGGCCATGCGTTTTGTGCAATTTTATTCACCAAACTTTTGCCTGCCTCCTAATGATTTTCACTGCTGTGAATTTAAAATTGAGGAGTTGCACGTGAGCAGGGAACAACCCCCAAAATTTCAGCTTTCTAGATTCCGCCGTTTCCAAGATGATAATTTACCTGTCAAAAGTTTCACTGGTCCATATCTGTTACACTCGGGCACAGGAAGGCTGAATTTAAATTTTTTTGGTCACACATGGGCGGAGGACATACACATAAAATTTCAGCTTCCTAGATTCCGTGGCTCTCGAGACAATGGTTTACCCACCAAAAGTTTCACGGGGTCGTTTATGTTACCTGCGGGTACAAGGAGGTTGAATTTAAATTTTCTGGATCGCACTGGCCAGACGACATACCCATAATACTTCAGTTTCTTAACTTACGTGGTTCCCGATACAACCTTCCCTGCCAAAACTATACAATCTTCCCTGCCAAAACTTTTACGGGGCAGTATGTGTTACCAACGGGTACGGCGAGGCAAATTTGAGTTTGTGCGATCACTCGTGACTGGGAAACATTCCCCTGAATTTTCAGCTTCGTAGCTTTTGTGGTTCCTGCGTTAAAAGTTGTGGGCAAGTTGCTGCGGAAACACACACACACAGACAATTCAGTGACAATACACGTTTTGTGCTGCTGATACACATTATAAAAAATTAATAATTAACAAAAAATAGCTCAGTTCCACCCAATTGTTGTGCATATTTTTTTATTAGATGCTAGAGTAGTTATTAGATTGCTTAAGTAGAACTGTGGAGCTATTCCAAGAGTAGATATTAGCTAAAAATATTAAGATATTAGTAATAATAATTGGCCCAATAAGATATACGAATACCAGCAATTTAGCTGAATTCAAGAAGTTTCGGTCTGTTACGCTGTATACTTCCAAGTCTAGCTCCACAACTAGTTTCCAACCCGCCAGTAGCCCAACCAATCAAACCACGATTTCTTTATTAGCTTCGATGGAAAATTGGTAGTGGCATGTGGCAGGAAGTCAAACACGTCATCATCTTGTTTGTAAGCAATTCTGTAAAGAGGAAGCCATCGATAGACTTGCCAACAAATGGTTCCTCTGTTGTATTTGCTACTACTTAGGCAGCTTTCCTAGGTACTTCTGCCTCACATTGAGAGCGACTACAGATCTGGGCTTATATACGGGTCTGGGCTTTTGGTTGTTAAAAGTTGATTATTAAAAGCATCGAAGACGCTATCTGCCTTCTGAATCTGGTAAAAATGGAATGAATTGCAGCTGAGCAGGATGCAGCACAGTACAAACGCCAGATGCACGTCACCCGCTCGATGATTGTACTAATGGTTGTCTATGCTTTGACTACACTTACAGCCTCTTTCATTCTATTTATTGTCAATTTCTTGCCTGTTTCACCGCACTTTACAGTAAGTTGTTTAGAGCATACAAGAATATGCGTACAGTTATCAGAAATTCAAATCGCCTTCGTATTTTACCCTTAATGAGAAGTAGATGCACTCGAGAAGTAACCCGAACGGCAGCAAATGCCAAAGCAGATACATGCTAGCGAAGATTGACGGGTTCCTCTTCTGAGAGTTGTTTGCAAAATAATGGGAGGTCTGACTCGCTGGCGTATGGCATACGCCAGTATCAGTTTACTATTGAAACGAATCTTAGAGGGATCTTATCGGCAGAGTCGAATCTTCGGCGTACTGTAGGAGTCATGCCTAATGACGTGTACACTTGTATTGGCACAATAGTTTCGATTTTATGTATATATACATACATATATTGGTTATATGTATAAATTATTTGTATATATAATTTCTGCAAGAGGCTTTCTGCTGCAAACTTGCTGATTGCTAAATTTCGATTTTTTATCAAAAAATGAATACGTCTTTGAAAAGTACATATTCTAAACCTAGATTTAAGCTACACGAGAAAGATAGAAAGTTTCCAGCAGTAACAAGTTGAGCTGTCAGCTTCCAAGCACGCAAAAAAGATTTCACTTCAGACTGGTCAAACTAGACCAATTATAGCTGTGATGTGCGTTAGCGGCTCGCTTCCGTGGGTTTATGTTGAGTTTCTTCTGCGGTTGATGACTTTGAATCGCAGCTTTTCTTTCAAAGACTTATTTCTCCCACTTTCTTGACTTAGCACCGGCGTTTCTTTCAGTTTTGGATATTTTTGTTTTTCAGGCCAGTGTTTCATCATTTACGTGCCTACTCGTAATCATAAACTACGGCAGTAACTACTATGTTTTATTTTGGCGTAACCGCGATTATCGATCAATATTTTTGAATCAGCTTAATTTGCACAACAAAAAAAATGTGGTAGGCGCTACGCAGATCACGGACATACGAACCAAAACTTATAAATCCGAAAAAGTGGCAAATCCCCATATGTACAAATAATGATTTTCAATGTGATAATAAAAGATGTAAAAGTGCACCACGTTTACGTCAACCACATAATTCCAGACAAAAGTTGCCGAGCTGTGAAAAAAAGGGCAAAAAAGCAGTTACAGAAAGTATACACCACTTGTTAGGAAGGATAGGAAGAAAGAAAGACGCGTGCTCTCTCAAAGGCAGATACACAGTAGGAATGCAAACAGGCTACGCCTCTGGCCCGATGATCGATGGTGTAGTGGATAACACGTCACGCCTGGATGCGAAGATCAGTGCTCGGCTTCCTTCCGGTTCATGTTCGATTTCGAAAGATGGCTTCCTTTAAGACAGGCGTTTTCTTGATCCTTCGATTTTTCTCGCACTCTTTCTTGCACTGATTTGGTACCACTCCAGAAAGACTACTGCGTCGAAGAAACAGGAATCGCAGACAAACAGAAGCTGTAGGTAAATCATCTTTCTCTACTACCCGCTTTACAAGATTTTAGGCTGCTGTTATCTTATGCATCTTAATCAACTGTAATTGCAAGTCCATTTGTCTGTTCCGTTTAAATTTGTTATTTCTTTATCCTCTCAGCTACAGCAGCACGCGCACATCGGAAATATTGGTTGCTGGAGAGCTGGCAGTTTTAAAGTCGTCAAGGAATTTTTTAAATAACTTTCCCAATCTTGCATAGGTTGTTCCAAAATGACTGATGTTTGTGGTGTACCTAACTTAACATTGCGTGAGCATGACATCAAGTAACACTAAATCTAGGAATTTTTTCTCTGCAGCTCGCGGATTATCTATAAAAAAATTTTTCTGCTGATGGAAGTGGATTGTAATTTCACAAAGAGCGAAACAGCAATCAAGATCTTAATTTTGCAGTTCTGCAATGACTGAATGAGTTTTCTTTTTACTAGTGGTTGCGGAAATTCTCATTAAATTTTCCACACTGGATATATTTTTTGGCAATTATTAAAGCAAAGTGAGGAAAAAGGAGGGGGGCGTGGTAAGTTTTTTTATAGGAGGAAGCAAAATTTGTGTTAATCGTTCTGTGCCTTCAATAACATCCACCTATTTTATTTGGGCAAACAACAGACATAACAGGTGCATATATTCAGACATAATGTTGCCTTAACTAACAAAAAAACATAATGATAGTCAAGGACAATGATGTGGTGCCGAGGCTTTCATTGGCTTGGACCAGTGCAGTTCTTGTAATGCCTGAAAAATGCGCATTTTCTTAATAGTAATAGATACTAAAATACCCGTTGGGTTTAAGCAGAACTGTAAAAGCAATTTAAAGAGTAGCTATTAACTACTGGTGAAGTATATTGAAAATATTGGCACTAAAACCAATGGCATCTGTGGGAATTGCCAATATAGCTAAAATTTAGTCAACACTCTATTGAGCTGCATACGTCTTAACTCGTGCCACAGCTGGACTTTCTTAATACAACGGTCGTGGTATAAATTATTATTACATAAAGCTAAGAGAAAAAACTGGGAATTGAGATCAGTTGCGTTCTCTTCTTGCATTTTCAGTTTTCTCCTATGATCATGATTACTTTTACGGCAATAATTGCCAGTTTTCGCCTAAACTGTGAATACTGGGTTTTACTTCGTGAATATGTATTATATTCTTTGCATGTTGTGGCTTGAGTATGTTGCAGATAGATATTTGATGTACAAGTGGCGGCGCATGTGACCTAATTATCATAATCCTGAATTATGCTGCTGCACTCTGATCTTTTGTAGTTCACTTCAAATTTTGATCTTTAAAAACACTTCTATTTCGGAGCTGGCTGCACATGGGGTGCTGCTTAGCATAGTCTGAATTTTAGTTTCTAGTTTCTGATTTTGAAATCTTTGATTACAAGCCACATAGAAGCGACGACCGAAAAAACTGGCGAGAACATGCTTTTTCCACATGTAAGCCAAGATCCTCCCTTTCTCCTCTTCCCTCAACTTCCCCCTCCCCTCCACCCCCTCTTTCTAGTCATTTTTTACCTAAGCCTTTTTTTTATACATATTCGCTACCCCAACCCATTGGCGTCCTCGTTCCAGGATACTGTTGCTCACTAGTTGCTGCAGCATCCCATTGCTGATCCTTTCGCAAACCATTTGTTACATATAAAAACTTCATTCAACTTCATGCATACAAAACGCACAATGTACAAAAAGGATTCTCTTTCTACGTGTCCTCGAGCTTGCATCAATAGAAGAAAACTTGACTTTTTACAAAAAAGCCATATAAAAACTCGACAAAGATTTCAGAGCCGGGTTTTGCGACATTGTCAAAGGTAAAATATTAACAGTCCTGTAATTCACTTTCTGTTAGAGATGAAGGCAATCAGAAGTAGCCCTCAATTATTTCCCTCAGCCAGACATAGCTGTTCAACCTGAACTTTTTTAATTATCGAGTCTCATGTAGAACTGGGGCGAAATGCTTCCACCATTTGCTTTTTTTTTGTAAATCCAATTTTCTTCGGGAACTTTGAACCTGACTTTCTTCTACTTTCCAGGTCTAAAATCTCCTAAAATTATAAATGCGCGCACCTAAGCTAAATAAAGATAATTTTCCCACAGCGTTTCCTGTTTATGTATCAGAACATAAAAATTGTTTTACCAAAAAACTTACTGATCGCGTTCCTTCACAGTATGAAAGACTTGAGTGCATCCTGCTTTGCCGCAAAGGTAGATTGGTTGTCCAAAATGTATGCTGAGGACGTGGTTTTTGTACATGCCTTTGGTCTTGTAGCGTTTATCGCAATATTGACACTGATATTGTTTGCCCTCCGAATTTGTCAAACTCACACCAACGATTGTAGATGGTCCAGGAGCTGCTACCGTAGATGGTCCTGGTTGCACTTCTACTTCAGCTCTAGAACTTCCAGGCTCCATCATTGCCGATGATAACACGCCGGGATCTTCAACACGAATTCTTTGGGAGCCTGAAAAGTAGCGGTTTTGCCAAATATTTCTTCAGAGTGCTCAAGATGATCTTTGGGTTAGCTTTTTTTTGAAAATTTTTTGAACACATCATTACATTGACTGTTTGTAAATTTTCGATAATATAAGAGTGAACTTGGAGGTGGCCAGGCAACGAAAATGGGCAGAGGCGCTAAAGCACAAAATCATAGTCAGCAATAAAATTACCAGCTGTACAATGTGAAAATTGGTGGATGTCGAGAACTGACAGGGACTACCTGAAACACCTGAATTAGCTGTTAGTCCACAGTTGGTCCTTCATACCTGCAGCCAGCTATTTGCTCATCGATCAGGATCTTTTGCTTTCCGTCTATTCGCCAATTCATCAGTTCCCTCACCATCTACATTATCAGAACGGCTAGAGGTTGCTCGGGACTGAGGCTTTTTCTTATTTCCATAGCTGTTTTGAAAAATGCTGTCAACGATCCCCCCATGAATCGTTTGTCAAAGCTCAACTGTTTTTAGATACCTCAGGCGTGTGCAGCATCACTAAGCTGCCTGAAATTTTTAAACTACTTTGTCGCACACAACTGCCCACTTATGCACAAATGGTGTCTATTGGGATTTGGATGAATCTCAAGAGACCAAGCAAACATGCATAATACATGTAATGAAGCTTAACTGGAATATTCTTAAAGAATTGTAATAATAGACCAAAGCTGCAAAAAATAGGTTAAGACTGAAAATGGGATAGGTCAGAACAGGTATGGTCAGTAAAAGAGGAATCTCTGAAAAGGATTTTTCGATAAAAATGGAAACCTTGTTGTTGCACATCTTCGACA